ACATGCTTTGAGCAAAACAAGGGATGCCACCAGATGCCAAGACATGATCCAGGAAGCAGGGGAGCGAAGGCTGGAGGATGGGAGGAGATGGAGAGGGAAATGCACCAGGGGAAGCTGAAGGCCCGAGAGGAGTTGCAGCGGGGCAGAGAGGAGTGGTCCAGGGGGACTCATAGGCAGGAGCTCTGGGGTGGGCTGATGCTTGCATCCTACACACCAAACATGTCCATGGTACAGGCAAATACAATTCGGAAGTTGCACACAGAAAGAAAATGCTCTCGTTTGGTGCCCTATCAGTTTTTTTGTTTATTTTTTGCGTTTTGGGTCACACCCAGCGATGCTCAGGGGTCACTCCTGGCTCTGCACCCAGAAGCTACTCCTTGCAATGCTTGGGGGACCATATGGGATGCCGGGGATTGAACCCGGGTTGGCCACGTGCAAGGCAAATGCCCTACCCGCTGTACTATCGCTCCGGCTCCCTAGTGCCCTATCAGTTTTTTTGAAGCCCAGGGTGCCAGGCAAGACCATACTTTTCACTCGAGGGCAAACACATTTGGGGAAGACAGGCACAGAGAAAAACGTGCGTTGACTAAATATAGTTTTCTTCCATGTGCCAGAGAGATAGTACCGTGAGTCAGGCAGTGGGTAGACCTAGTTTGACAAGACAAAGAATATTTTATCTCGATTTTATCTTTTAATCATTCTATGGGGATTTTTCTTCTGTCACACTTAATTTCCAAGAGCTTTCCTTTATCCTCTGAAAATTCCAACCCATTTCTTATTTCTGGTTGCAATATTATCTCATCTCTCTGAAAGGATACAGCTGACAGTTTGTAGTATTCTGTGCATGGTATTATTTCAGCTCCCTTGGAGGGTAATGAATCTCTCTCCCCACTCCCGGCTATCCTTGCTGTGCATTCGTATTTACATGAGGGACTAGGCTCTAAGTATAGGTCTGAGTCTGCTTGCGATAAGGGGAGGGAGGGAAGAGACGGCTTTCACCGGCTCCCATGTTCTGAGAACTCTTATATTCTGTTGCTTCCCAGGGACTGGCACCTCTTTCTGGAGACTCTCAAGGAGTTATTTCCAACTCAGTGCTCAGCAAAAAACCACTCCAAGCAATGTTTAGGGGATCCTGGAGTGCTGGGAATAAACTTGAGTCTCCTGCACGCAAATCCAGTCTGCACCCGTTTGGGTCATCTCCACAGTCTATCCAGCATTCTCTACAGAACTGCATTCTCCTGGCTGGCCTCTTCCTTAGGAGATGCAGACTTGCGTTTTCTCCTTGTGTCTAAGCAAATCTCAACTTGCTTGTCAGACTGGATCATCTTCCCTGTCCTCCATGTCCACGGAGATTTAGGCCTTTGATTAGCCCTTGGGAGGGGCTTGGTTAGGGTTCGGAGATAAATTTGTGAGTTTATTCCTGTGAAATCATGAATCTGAACTGATTCTGGGTAATTCCTTCAGCAAGAGGGCCAGCATTGAGGACTCCGAGTCTCCACTCAGCACCCATGGGCATGCTGCCATTGGGTTTTGAACTCTCCACTCTAAGTCTGGAATAAACACGCCTCTGACACTTATGTGGAAACCAGTTTAACCAGGAAATCCAGTCCTGGAAGTCAAGGACTGGGCAGGAACTTGAATAGCTTCTCAACTTCTGGTTTTCCTTTTTAGACAGACAGTACTATTCAGTTCTGCTGTGCAAAAGAATGTTTTGAAGAGAGTGAAGAGCTGACTCTAAGGGCCACTGTGCATATTTTGCATGCAGGAGGCCCCTAATTTGATCCCTGGGACTGCACTGCATGGTCCCTTGAGCACTACTGGATGTGGTTTAAAACCCAGAAAGAAAGAATGTTTTGAAGGACCAGAGAGAATGTATTGGGGTCAAGGCACTTGTCTTGCATGAAACCAAGCTTAGCCTGAACCCTGGCACTGTATAAGATCCCCTGAGTGCCTCCAGAGGGACCCCTGTGCATAGATTTAGGAGTAATCCCTGAGCTCATGAGGGGTGGCCCAACCACCCACCCCCAAAAGAATATTTTGAAGAGAAACAAGAATTATGATTTGAGCTCTTAGGGAGGGCGATTAAGCAATGAAGTCAGGTTCTTCTACCTGCCAGAAAGGGTGCCTCAAATTTGCGAAAGCTGATATTAAGATTTCTTATTCCTGCTGCTTTAATAACAGTGGTTATATGCTCTTGTCTTCTCTGCTTCATAAATTCACAGTAATAGAGAAATTTTCTTTTCAGGATTCAAGTTTTTCATTAAATCAATTTTTTAGACAGTGTCTAGAGCAGAAATATTTTTATGGCAAGTAAAATAGAGTTTAGTTCCGAAATGTTTGCATGAACCAGAGGTGATTATCACACATTTCCTTAAAAAATTACATGAGACACCTGAAGCCTGCTTTATACTGTGATGAAAGTATCATGAATAATTTTTTTGTTCTTTTGGGCTCCACCCGGTATGCTCAGGTGCTACTCCTGGCTCAGAACTTGGGAATTTCTCCTGGAAGGGCTCAGCCGGGAACCCTATGTGATACCGGGGATTGAACATGGGTTGGCCTCATGCAAGGCAAGTGCCCAACCCACTGTACTATACAGCTCCAGCCACTCATGAATAAATATTTTTAAATTGGAAAAGAATCCCTAATAGAATTATGTTTCAACTCGTGATCAGTTCCCCCATGGTTCCTCATGGGTGGCCCACCCAGAAGCTGGGGTCTAGTAAGAAGGGATTTTACACAGGGTACATGTCCTGAACTCAGCCCCCCTCACTGGAAAGTGGAGATAAACTTTTCTTGCACTGAAGGAAGGCACTGGGGTAATTTTGAGCTACTTCTCTGAGAAGAGAAAATGAGTCTTCACTGTAAGAATAAAGTAGCATTCAAAACACGTGACTGCACGGCGGGAGGTTGAGACTTAATGGCAGCCTACATAAAGGTACAGGCTGCATCTCCTAGCGAGGCAACGCAGACGCTTTCTAAGCTGGGTCACGCGTTTCTTAGCAACAGGCTCACTCTGAGAAACGTCCCTGGTGCCTCTGTGGTGGCACGAAGGTCCTCACACTTGGTGCAAAGCCAGGAGGGAGCCGTTGCGGCAGAAAGGACTGTGAGGCTAGGACGACAGGCCTGGTAGTGAGGCACCAAAGCACTTTGTCCATGTGCCTCACAGCTGGGGCCTGGGCCGTGGCTTAGGTGGAGGGCAGGTTCGGGGCACGGCCAAGTTCTGGATCCTGCCCTAGTGCCAGAAGACCCCGGGGCAACAGGCCCCCAAAACAGTGGAAAAACATGCGAGCCACAAAGTCTCCTAACTGCCTGGAAGCCCAGTGAGGACCGAGGGCCTTGTTTCCTGCTTCTTGCTTCCGGTCAGCTTTTTTTTTTAATTAAAATATTGGGGGGATTTTGGACCCACACTCGGCAGTGCTCAGGGCTTAATCCTGGCACAGGGATCACACAAGGCAGTACTGGAGTGGGTCATCTACCATGTGACAGGGGCTAGCTAGTGCTCTTTCTTGGCCCTAAGTTAAGGCATTTAAAAAAAAGTCTAAAATTCAAAATTTTTTAAATTAACAATATTGCTAATATTTGTGCTACTGATGTGCAAAGTTACTGCGCCGTTACTACAGATGCTAAAGACCCTTGACCACTACCCATGTGTCACTTCTAGTAGTTTCAATTGGGCCCCTTGGAAGCCTTATCACTTAATCACTTAACTTCCCGTTAGTTGTCGATTTGCTCGAGCGGGCACCAGTAACGTCTCCATTTGTCCCTGTTGCGTGCTAGTGTAGCCCAATGGCATCTGTTCGCTCCAGGAACATGAAGGGCCTCAAACCGATTGTTCATGATCTTGACGAAGAAGTCTGACCATCTGGAAGGTGGGCGGCCACATGGTCTTTTGACATCCCGTGGGATCCAGTCGGTAACAGCTCTAGTCCAGCGGTCGTCTTTAAATCTCATTACGTGACCAGCCCATCTGATTTTCGACACCTTGGCATATGAGACAGCGTCCCTGATTCTTGATCGTCGACGGATGTCAGAACTCCGGATTCTCTCTCTCATTTGAGTGAAACGTGATATTCCAAGCATAGCTCTTTCTATTCTTCTTTGGGAGACCTGAATAGCGTTCTCATCTTGTTTGCATAGGGCCCAGGTCTCTGAGGCATATGTTAATGCAGGAAGAACAGTGGAATCAAAGAGATGTGCCCGGAGCCGGAGGTTCTTCGTCCTCTTAGCTATTTCTTCGACGTTCTTGAAGGTGTTCCACGCCGCTCTCTTCCTCCTGCGCAGCTCGGGTGCCAGGTCATTTGTCATGTTGACCTCTCGACCTAGGTACACATAGCTGTTGCATTCGGAGATGGTCGTTCCATTGAGAGCGAATGGGGCGTCAGGAACAAGGCTGTTTCTCATAAACATTGTCTTCGTAAGATTCAGCTGTAGTCCTACCTTTCCACACTCACGGTCGGCCAGCATTTGTGCCGCTTGGCTGATGTTTGGTGTTATTAAAACAATGTCATCAGCAAAGCGGAGGTGGTGTAGTTGCCGACCATCTATCTTCACTCCCATTCCTTCCCATTCCAGTCGTCGCATGATGTTCTCAAGGGTGGCACTGAAGAGTTTTGGTGAAATGGTATCACCCTGCCGCACCCCTCTCTTGACATCAACGATCACTTCTTTCTTGAAGCCTTATAACTATTATCAAACAAAAACGCTATTTGCTGCAGTGCATACAGGAGACGCAGACTGCCACAAAGATGGTGCAGATGCCACGCCATAGGCCTTTGAGTGGGGTGGTGTTTCCCCAACTGGCCCTGGAGAAAACACGTGATCAGGATGCAGGGGAAGTGAGCGGTGACAGGTGGGCCTGTGTGAAGAACTGGGGCTAAGCCCTCCCCCTTAGATGACCCGTCCTCCAGCTCAGGCCCCACGGGTGAGACCCAGCTGACTGCCTGGCCTGGGAATACCCCACACGAACGCTTATGTTTCTCCCACATGCCAGAACTCACTGTTGCCGGTGAAGAGAACTTCTCCCTCCTGCGGGTTGGGGTCACTGTCTGGAACCACCTGCAAGGCTCCCACAGTCCGGACCGCAGGGTCCAAAGTGACTGAGCTCTCGTTCACGGTGGTGTCGCTGGCGCCTGTGATCTGGTTGGTCGGGGGCCCTCCCAGGGACCCCTCGAAGTCCGTGGGCAGGTCGTCCATGCAGTCGGCGTTGGGCTGAGGGGAGAGAAAAGCAGCTATTCTTAGTGGATGCCGTTGGGAACCAAGTGTCTGCAGCCTAATATTTTGTCTCAGTAGGAAACCAAGTTCTTTACCACTCTCCTCCCGAGCCACTTTATTTAAAAACATTTCACATACTGTTTCTGTAATTAACCTAAAAACTCATGTTCCAAAACGTGCTTTCTTTTTGGATGGCGAGAGAAGGATCGAACACCGCAGCAAGAATATCCTAAATTACGTGGGGGTAGTCACATCGTTTATTTATCATTTGTTTATTTCCTTCTCTACAGTGCTTCCTCTATAGGGCATCTCTGACAATCTGGTAATCACCCCCAAGAACTTTGTATTATTCGCACATGTACTGATGGCATGAGGGCGGGGGTCGGGCGAGAGCCTGGCTCAGTGAATGGAGGGCTGCAGACACACACAGTCATGCAAGAACACCGTGTGAGGCTGTTACACACACTCCCCACGCCCTATTTTCTAAAATGCAATTGACCATGCATTCCTGAGTTAAAATTCGACCCACAGTTGTGGGATGAGGCTGTGGAGTTTAATGTACTCACTGCAAGACACCTTCCATGTCCCTGGGCAGTCAGTTCCCAGGCAGCATAAGCCGGCCACACTGTATTAATCTCTTTATTACTGGGCAAAAACCTCACCTGCCAATTTGACAGTTTGGCCTTAGCTCTGCAGTTTCAGGGAATTTTGAATATAGTTATATCTCCTCAACTAACAGTTTCATCAGTGGGGGAGGCTTTGGGTCACACCCTGTAGTACTCAGGGGCTATTTCTTGCTCTCTGCTCAGGAATGACCCTTGACAGTGTTCAGGGGATCACATTCAGTGCTGGGTTTGGCTACATGCAAGGTGGGTGCCTTAACCCCTGGACTATTTCTCTAGGCTCGATTTTTTTTTAGAGGGTGCATAACTGGTGGTGATCCAGGCTTTCTCCTGGCTCTGTGCTCAGGGATCACTCATGGTGGTAGTCAGAGGGCCATGTGCATTGCTAAAAATCAAACCAGGGCTGACTGCATGCAAGTCAAGTGCCTTGGCCTCTGGTGCATCTCATAGGTTTCATGCTAGCAGGTCTTTTTCAAGTGATCTTCAGTTGTTAGTTCTCATCCTATACTCCTAACACTTACTTTTAGAATGTGGCAGCTGTGTGCTATAAAGTCTTGAGAAATCATGAGAACAGCTAGTTATCAATACTTTTTTTCTGCTTAGATGTGAAGATTAACATTGCCTAGAGGAGCACAGGGCGGGGGGTCTGCTTGCATTCCATGCTCCCAGATGGGCAGTTGGGGAGGAGAGATCTGGGATGACAAAGATGGACTTACCCCCACTGGGAGTCCTTTGTGTTCAAAGTTCATTGACAGAGACCCTGGATCTTTTTAAAAAAATTTATTATTATTATTATTATTATCATTTTGGCTTTTTGGGTCACATCTGGTGATGCTCAGGGGTTAGTTCCTGGTTCTGCACTCAGAAATTACTCCTGGAGGTACACGGGGGAACATGAGATGTGGGGATCGAACCTTGGTCGGTTGCGTGCAAGGCAAATGCCCTGCCCGCTGGACTATTCCTCCGGCCCCCAAACTGGACTCATTGGACACAAAGCTCAAAATGCAAGCACTGGGCACAGCTTCAGGTTTTCAGCTTTTAGGATTCCTGGAAACTGTCAGAGAGTTCCACTAGCACTCAGTTAAATGTTCGATAAAGTGTGTCTTGTCTCTGTTCTCTCGTTGCCTCTGTCTCTACTGGAAGACAGAGCCTGTTCAGTGAAACCCGAGTTGCACTGGACAGTCAGTTCACTGACCCCTCGTGATACCCAGTGTGACACAGAACATGAATAGGGGTGTGACTTTCCTTGCCCTGTCCTGTTCTTCCCTCAATCTCTCCCTTTCTCACCAGAACTTTTCTTAAGTACACCAAAGTCTGAGTATTGTGTGCTTGAGATCTGAACTCCTGAGCACGTCTCCACATTTGTCCCAGCCTGCATCTCCGGCTCCTGGTTCTGACTCAGGATCCACACACCCCACTTCTCAAACCTCTCAGCTCAGATGCTGATACCCTGAGCTGCTCAGGTGGGTTGCAGGGAAGACAAGGTTCCCAGTGAGGTTGATGTGGGGTTGTTCTTTAGTCAAAAGGACTCAGCTTCAGTAATGGTTGATATTGCTCTTTCACTGCCTTTGTTTCTCTGACTCCCCCCCTACCCCATAGCAGAGGTCAAGGGTGTAGGGGCCATGCCCAAGGCCAACTGGTCACCTGGATTGAGCCCTAGCAGTACTCAAAAGCCATATGGTGCTGGGGAGCAAACTCAGGTCTGTGTGCTCTTGACTTTTGAGTTCTCCTCTGCCCTCTCTTTCCCTCTCTCTCCCTCCCTCCCTCCCTCCTCCTCCTCCTCCTCCTCCTCCTTCCTTCCCTCCCTCCTTCCCTCCCTCCCTCCCTTCCTTCCTTCCTTCCTTCCTTCCTTCCTTCCTTCCTTCCTTCTGTCCTTCCTTCCTTCCTTCCTTCCTTCCTTCCTTCCTTCCTTCCTTCTGTCCTTCCTTCCTTCCTTCCTTCCTTCCTTCCTTCCTTCCTTCCTTCCTTCTGTCCTTCCTTCCTTCCTTCCTTCCTTCCTTCCTTCCTTCCTTCCTTCCTTCCTTCCTTCTGTCCTTCCTTCCTTCCTTCCTTCCTTCCTTCCTTCCTTCCTTCCTTCCTTCCTTCCTTCCTTCTGTCCTTCCTCCCTCCCTTCCTTCCTTCCTTCCTTCCTTCCTTCCTTCCTTCCTTCCTTCCTTCCTTCCTTCTTCCCAGAAAGAAAAGACCTTTATTCAGTTGGGGTCCCTTGAGGACATTGAGGCGCATGGTCTTGCTGAGGGCCGGAGAGACAGTGCAGTGGGTAGGGCACTTGCCTTGCACATGCCTGACCTGGGTTCAACCCCCAGCACCACATATGACCCCCTGAAAACAGAGCCAGGAGTAAGCACTGAGTATTTCCAGGTGTAACCTAAAGACCAAAAAAATAAAATAAAAATAAACTTAATTATGACGCATAGTGTCTGCCATACTTTGTGGACCAGTTGGTATCTATTTATATCTTCAGCAGACAGGGAGAGAGAAAGAGAAAATGCTAATGAGCTCCAAGGGACCGAAGGGAGTGGACACAAATAACTTGGCTTCGGTATTGTATTTAATAAGCTTTCGCTAGCTCAGTTTCTATCCACTCGGAATGATTCATCCAACAGAAATATTTTGGTAAGAAAAACCACCTCGATTTATATACCTCTAATTGAAATCAGTCAAAATACTCAGGAGATGCCAAGTGCCACCTGCAAGCAAGCACAGAGTGTGTATCCAACATGTGGGCCGGCATGGGGACCGTGAAGCGGGTCGGGACTCAGGGCTCCATCAGTCTCATGGGATTTTCCATAAATAGTGATCAGCCCATGCTGCTTGCAACGTCACCAGGAGGGAAGGCACGTGCTGGGCCCTGAGGACCAGCTCCCGGAGCGTGCAAGACCACGTTCCCCGGCTGCCCAGCTGACACCATGCAGCCTCACAAACACCATCTCCTCCCAGCTGGACCAGAGACATGCAGCCTGGCAAGTGCTGCCTGAAGCTCCTCTTACGGATGACGCAGCTGATTTGGAATTCATTTTTGGTCACTGTGTGCCCAGAAACCTTTTTCCACTGTTAAATGGTCTGTGACCCCCCCCCCCCTCCATCCTGTGAGTCCCTCTGGGGCTTCAGTCCACACTTCTAGAAGTTCAGGTCTGCGGGCCTGAAGGACAGTACAGTGGGGAGAATGCTTGCCTTGCATGTGGCCAACCTGAATTGATCCCTGGCACCACACTTGGTCCCCGAGCGCCTGAAGGAGTGACCCCTGAGTGAGAGATGAGAGTAAGTCCTGAGTGCTGCTGGGTGTGGCTCCCTCACAAGCCTCAGGAGCTAATGTTTGGGGGACCAGGATGACCCACTCTCAGGAGAAGGCGTGCATTTCATCTATCTGACTCTGCAGTCTGTGACTCTGAAGGTGACAGCGTGAGGCACACCGAGATGATGCTGGGGCCTCTGAGACAGGCCTGGTCAGCTCTGATGCTCAGAGACACTCAGTTCAACTTGCCTTGATTAGGTAAAAACGGAGTCAGAAGTGTTTAGGAAAACGGAAATGCAGATTCAGTGACATGACGAGGGTGTCATGAGACCTAGGGAGTGCATTCTGCCTCAGAGGCTGAAAGATGCAGTGAGATCTTCCTCTTCTTTGGCCTGACTTAGGTGTGTGTGAGCCCAGGCCTGGTATGGCCAACACCTCAGATTCTTCTCAGCTAAACCAGCAAAATTCTTTCCAGTTTGGGAAAAGTTGCGCCGTGGGGACTGCTTCAAGGGGGAGATTCTGGTCCCCGGAGCCAGCCTGTTTTTTTTTTTTGTTCTTTTTTGGGTCACACCCGGCAATGCACAGAAGTTCTTCCTGTTTCTGCACTCAGGAATTACTTCTGGTGGTGCTCAGGGGACCATATGGGATGCTGGGAGTTGAACCTGGGTTGGCGGCATACAAGGTAAACACCCTACCCACTGTGCTATCACTCCAGCACCTATACAACTGGTCTTTAAGAACCTTTGGCAAAACTCCCATGATGCTTGCTTTTCTGGAAAGCATGTGTGTCACGTAACACATCCCCACTCCATCCCCCTGCAGCTCCCTGGTCTGGATAGGGAAAGTCGTGTTGGAAATAAACCCAAAGGCAACCCCAAACTCTATCTGAAAACAGTGAAGGGCAGGACTCTGCTCATTGCCAAACAAACAGCTTCTGGGGAGTAAGACCATCCCTGCCGCCACCCCCTCGCAAGGGCTTGTTCTGACCAAAGACCAGTGGGATGGATGCTTACAGCTTTGATAGAGCCTGAATAGATCAAATGGTGTGAGTGTTCCCAAGAGTCTAGAGAGACCACACACACACACACACAACACACACACACACACACACACACACACACACACACACACACACACACCCCTGATGCAGAGGCATGGGGTCATATTTCATATTAGCTGCAAGTTACATTTTTTTCTTTTCAAATTAGGATGTAATTCGACAAGATTTTTCATTTATTTATGGGTTTAGGGGCTACAATAGGCAGCACTCGGGCTACTCCCAGCTACGCTTGGGGCTCACTCCTGGCAGTGCTCAGGGCAATATACAAAATACCAGGGATTGAACCGGGGCCTGGTGCAAAGTGTGGGCTCAGCACATTGAACTGTCTCTCTGGCCACTGTGAGTGAATTTTTACCCTGTTCGCAAGATGCACAAACCTTCTGAAGATGTAGTTTGCTGCCTTTCAAAGGTTGGCTCTAGCCTAGAGTCACACAATTGGGTTGGCATTTGGGGCGTGGGTGGCGAAAATCAACATGCCATTGGGATGGTCTGGCCACTCTAGGGCCTCGGCCTGTTTTGAGGCTGGGGATAGAGGCCATCCAGGAGCTACTCTTGCAATCCAGGGAAAATAAGGCCTTCACCTTTGTTTTGGGGCCACACCTCTGTGCTTAGAACTGACTCCTGACAGGACTCAGGGGACATGTCCAGGACCACACCTGGATCAGTGGGGTGCAAGGGAAGCCCCTGCAGCCCTGTCCTCTGTCTCCAGCCCTTAATATCCTCTTTATGTTTTATAATGAGCAGTGGAGCTTCTGGTCTCTATGCTGCTGGTCTAGTAGCTTCTTTCTTCAGTGCTTGGGGAGTGGGGGGTGGGGTGAGTCCACTCCTGATAGTCAACTCAATGGGCTGGAAGTTCAAAGCTAGGCCTGAGGACATGGGGCTGGGGGCCTCCAGGACTATGTTCAGCGATGCTTGGGGGACCACATGGTGCTGGTGGTAGAACCAGGGTCTGGTGCATGCGAGGCCAGTGCCCCAGCCCCTGCCCCTGGACTGGCCCTCACAGCTTCCTCCACTCGCACCTGGGTCTTCCTGTGCAGCCTTGGGGTTGCTGTCCGGCTTTCTTTCTGTCCCCACAGGAGCAGCGGGGGCCTCCCAGGCAGGAAAGCCTTTGCCCAGAGACCCATATGGGAGCCACTGGACTAGACCAGACAGAGTCCAGGTTCCGTGGGATGGTCCTGGCTCCTGCCCACTCAAGGGCTCCTTGGAGTCCGGGGTCAGCCCAGGGCCTGGCTGGGTTCTCAGCAACTGCCCTCACCCCAATGTTAGGGAGGGGGTTTTCCCTGTGGGAGAGGTGACCAGGAGTGAGCGTGTGCCCTGCAGGCTTCCTTGTGTCCTAACAGGGGCCTGACATAAGGGGCATCTCTAGGCATATATGTCTTGGGACTACCCTGGAACTGAAAGATGAAAGTGGGGGCCAGAGAGACAGTCTAGCAGGCAAGGAACTTTTTTAAGTGTGTTTGACTCCAGTTGGCCCTTGGTACCCCATTGGTCGCCGAGAGCACCCCTAGGAGTGAACTGAGCACAGAGCTGGGGATGTCTTGAGTACCACCAGGTGTATCCTAACATTCCCCACTACAGTCAGACTGAGGGAAAGTGAGTGTTTGCAGATATGGACACTCTCCTGTACCCTCTCCCACCTTCCCTCCCTTCCCTGCCCCCCATACCAAAGATCACCCCTGTTGAGGGATGCGTAATTCCCTGCTATCCAGGGATAAGGATTCCAGATTCAGGAAGACGATGGGGGCTGAGATGGGCTGTGCTTACCGGGATCCCCAGGGCTTTAAGAATGTTCATCTTGCACATGGGGCAGGTGCGGTGGTCTAGGAGCCAGGGGTCAACGCAGGACTTGTGGAAAAGATGCCTGCAATGAGAACCACAGAGCTTAGTGCGGGTGCCCACTCCCCCAGAGCCTGACTGGATCCAGCCAGGATGCCAACGTCCAGCTCCGACCACTGAGTCAGGGGCTCATAGTTCTATCCCGGGGCCAAAGGTGTCCTCTGGGGCCACCCTGGAGCCTCCACGTATCAGAAGTGGAGAGAAAAGGAACCAGGGACCAGTGGGTTCTTTCTCAGCTCAACACCTGTTTCATGGCAAGAATGAAAATGGGAGTTTGGGGCAGACTTCCGGTCACCCTAGCAAGGGAGGGTGTTGGTACTGGGATATAGGTAGATGCAGATATTTACCATCCTTCTCACAGGTGGAAGATGATGTGAAGGAAAGGCTTCGGGATGGAGCCCAGAGGGAAGAGGGCTCCTGGAAGCAGCTAATAGCAGCCTCATGGCCAGGTCAGGGCCGTGGGTGTCAAACGGAAGCCGGAGGGGAAGGAACCAAACTGTTTCCGGTTGGTCACAAGACATACCCACTGCTCCTGCCACGCCCGTCCTCAGGACAGGGGTGTTTCATAGGCACGTGGGGGCTTTCTCTCAACTTGACTCTTGAGTCGACTGAGAGCGCAGGCCTGAGTCTTGGCCCTGGCTCCCGGGAGTTACCTCTGAGAGCAAATCCAGGAATAAGCCCTGAGTACTGCTGGTTGTGGCTCCCCCAAAAACAACAGGAAAAAGCGAGAGCCCACCAGGAGGCACCCCACTTCCAGACCCCCAGGGGAAGGCCCTGCAGGTTTAAGCGTGACAAGCCTCTAGCTCAGTCCCTGAGAAGGGCCGAGACTCCAGCACCCAAACGCCCCTAACGGCCACAAAGAGACACAGTCACAGGGTTTCCCTGCTCCTTCCTCCATGCCCTCATGCGCTGGTCCTCCCTGCTCACAGTTCTGGCTGCAGGGTGAGGAGAACTCCTTTAAGTTCTGTTTTCCTTAGTGTGATTGCGTGCTTTCATGCGTGCCTTAAAGAAGGTCGCAGAGGTGCAGTACAAATTCTCTTGGCAAGGGGACTAGAGGAACCCAGGTTCCAAGGAAGGGGAATGGAGCAGAAGAAGGCTTAGAGGATGAAGAGGGGCGCCAGCTAGGCAGTGGGATTCTTCCACATCTTCCTGGAAGAATCTTACTTGTCTTGCATACAGCTGACCCAGCACCACAAACAATCCATGAGCATGACAGGAATGACCCTTGAACACAGAGATAGGAGTAAGCATGGCCCCCAAACAAACAAACAAACAACAAAAAATATGGGTTTGGAGAGATAGTGCAGTGGGTGGGTCCTTTGCCTCGCATGTGATCCACCTGGGATGGCACCCCAGTATTGCTCCTGGCTTCTAGGGGTTACCTCTGAGTTCAAATCCAGGAGTAAGCCCTGAGCACTGCTGGGTGTATCTCCCCCAAAAACAACAGGAAAAAGGGAGAGCCCACCAGGAGGCACCCCGCTTCTACGCCCCTAGGGGAAGGCCCTGCAGGTTTAAGCGTGACAAGGCTCTAGCTCAGTCCCCGAGTCACGGAGCAGAGGTGGTGACGGGAGTGGCCCAGTTCCCGCCATGGGGGTCCAACAAGTGGGACTGGGCACTGACAGTGTCGTGGAGAAATTTCAGGGGTGTTACATGTAGGCACAGGGAACCCAAGCGTCCGGGCGGGGGCATCTGCCTATCACTGGGAGACTTAACATTCTTCAGATCCTCAGGAAAGGCCAAAGCAAAGATGAAGGCTATGCAGGTGTCGCTTGTGAGAGAGAGGGGAGGTGTCTGCCAACGGGATGACCAGCTGGTGCCAAGCAGGGGCTGGGGAGGGTCAGTTCTCACAGCAATGGGCCAGGCTGCATGAGAAAGCTCTTCTGGTGCATGGGCCACCTACTTGGGGGCCTCCTGGGAAAGAAGGTCCCCTCTGCTGGGTCTCCCATCCAAGGCTGGGACTCAGGACCTGCCAGGACATAAGTCCCCATGCCTCGCTACTTCCACAGGGAAGGGAAATATGTGACTGCAGACCCAGACAGATTTGCCAAGTCCCTAACGCACAGAGGTGGGTAGATTCTTTATTCATTGGCTTCTTAGGTCTCCTCTGTGCCTCACCCCAGGTCCATGTGGCTGGACCATCCCACCAAGTCCAGGTGGCTGAAGCACCCCATCAAGTTTGCATGGCTGGACCACCCCATCAACCAGACAAACGTCCGCCCAGGGCTGGGCTCTGGGTCAAGGACGTGATCCTATCATGTGGGTGGCCACATCCACATGGGTGGGAGTCCTTGAGAGCAAGAGGGTCCCAAGGAGGAAGAGAGTCAGCCTCAATCTGAAGCAGCATTGGCCTAACCGGTTCTGCTCACAACCTTGCACATCTGCCTGGAAGAATCTCTCTGGTACCAACCCCCCCCCGTGTGTGTGTGTGTGTGTGTGTGTGTGTGTGTGTGTGTGTGTGCAGCACCCGACCCCGACTCTGCTTTCTGGTGAAGACTGGCCCATCCTTCCCCCAGTGAGAACAGAGAGTCCATGTGAACAGCTCCCTATTGGCCAAATCCTTGGCTGTCTGCCCCCTCTGTCATGGTGCCGGAAGCACAGTTGGGGCTCTGAAGTGCCCACTCCGAGAAGAACACTTGTCTCAGGGCCATCCCCCTCACAGCCTGCTCCTGTTGCCCAGCCCCATCCATGTGGTGCCGGGACATCGCCTCCACACGCATTCCTTCCCCTCTTTGCTCTTTTCCATGTGCTTCTCTGAAGGATGCTCGGGTGGGTCTCAGGGCACTGTCTCTTCCTGTTCTCTTCGTCCCACTCATCCTTGCCCATCATCTTCCTAAAATAAAGCATTTGTGACGTCACCATCTGGATCTATTCTTCTCTGGGCTTCAATGAATGAGACAGGATTCTTCCCTTCAAGGAGCACCCTGATTTCAACCACAGTGCAATCATGCTTTGTACCCTGCTCTTCAGTAAGTTATCAGGGCCCTGGTGACTCACTTCCTCCCCTATTATATTTCATTTATTGGGATGTAGAGAGAGAGAGAGGACAGTGGAGAGAGGAGAGAGGAGAAAGAAGAAAGAGAGGCTGTATGCTCACAAAGCTGAAAATGTCATTAATTGTAATCTACAGTTAATCTTTTCATTCTATATCACATCATGTTTTCAGAGTTCTATTCTCCAGAATAACCTTATCTTGGAAGCAAGTAAGAAAGTGCTGAGGGGCTGGAGAGATAGTACAGCAGGAAGAGAATTCACTTTGCACTTGGCCAGCCTGGGTTCAATCCCTAGCATATTATGTGGTTGCCTGGTCACTGCCAGGAGTGATCTCTGAGCCCAGAGCCAGGAGTAAGCCTTGAGCATCACTGAGAGTACCCCTACCCCCATGCAAAGGAAAAAGTGCTGAAGCAACACCTAGGTAGATAATGCTTATTTCCATATTTGTTATATTTTAGGCCACTCCTGGTAGAGTTTAGGGGGTATACTAGCTATACTCCAGGGACCATGCAGTGCCAGGGATTGAACCCGGACCTCTACCATGCAAAAGCATGTACTTCAGTCCTTGGAGCTATCTCCCTGGCCTGTATCATGCTTCTTAGTAATCACCAATCATTTTATTTATTTATTATTTTTATTAGTGAAACACCATGAGGTATAGTTGTAGACTTACAAATTTTTGTGCTTGGGTTTCAATTATACAATGATCAAATACCCATCCCTCCACCAGTGCCCATTTTCCACCACTACGGATCCAAGTATCCCTCCCACCCCACATCCCCCCCATCCCACCCTGCCTCTGTGGCAGGGCATTCCCCCTTGTTCTCTCTCTCTCCTTTTGGGTGTTGTGGTTTGCAAACGAGGCAATGGGTGACAATCATGTTTGGTCTATAGTCTACTTTCAGCATGCTTCTCCCATCCTGGGAGGATCCTCCTAACACCCTTTATTTGGTGCTCTCTTCTCTATCTGAGCTTCCTTTTCCCCTAGCATGTGTAGCTGGCCTCCAAGCCATGGAGCAAAATTCCTGGTACTAATCTCGGCCATTCTTTCACCAATCATTTTAGACCATACTTCAGGGGCAGAGCATTAGTTATAAAGTCTATGCAATTATAGTTAGAATTGTAAGACTCCCCTCCCCACCGCATCCCCTGCCCACGAGACAGAAAGAAAAAAAAAGTTCTCTAAATAAATAAGCAAACGGAAAGAACGTAATAGTTAGGGGCCTGGCTCAGGGACCATTATTGGCGGTACTTGGGGGACCATATGTGGTGCCTGGGATCAAACCAGAGTAGGTCACATGCAAGGCAAGTGCCTTAACCTCTGTAACTACTTCCAGAGCCCCTTGATGATTTTCCTGATATGACACCCAAAATAAATGCAATGAAAGCAAAATAAACAAGTAGGACTCCATTAAGCTAAGCCGCCCAGCAAAGGAAGCCACAGACCAAATGGGGAAAAAAATACCTGAAAACATACGTGGGAGGGAGTTAATATTTGTTAATATTCATGCAACTCAACAGCAATGTAGGAGTAGGAATAGAAAACGAAGAAAGTCTGGTGGGACGGAGGTGGGGGTGGAAATGGTCTCAGAGGCACATTTCTGTGCTCGCCCTTGTGGCATCACCCAGAGAAGGCACAAATTCAGAACTGAGCACAGCACCCTACAGGCTCTCCCTGGGAAAATTCACCGGAGAACACAGCTGTTGCCTCAGGGGGTGGCCAGACTGTGGAACACAAAACTGCCAATGAGTTCAGAGCTAAAGAGTGCTTCCCCCGGTGACAGTGAGGGAGAAGCAGAGACTGAATGAGAAAAGGAACCGGCAAGTTGGCACTAGACATCACGATCACGATCACGATCATCCTGCTGTTCGTCGATTGCCTCGAGCAGGCACCAGTAACGTCTCCTTCTTCCTAGCCCTGAGATTTTAAAAGATCCATTTCAATGCTCTTTCAGGATTAGGAGAATGAGACCCATCATTGTTACTGGTATTTGGCATATTGAGTATGACACGGGAAGTTTGCCAGGCACTAGA